CCCTCCCACATCACTCAACAATCAAGAAAATGCCCCATAGACATGGCCACAGGCCAGTCCAATAGAGGAAATCCCCCAATTGAGGCTCCCTCAACCCAGGTGTGTCAAGTTGACACTAAAGCTATCCAGCACAATAGGGTTGGTTTGTGTGAGGTTTTTTGGGGGGGGAGGGGGCTGGTAGTTTGGAGACAGGGTCTCCCCATAGCCCAGCTGGCTCGGAACTTGCTGTGTAGACCAGGCTGGCCTCAATCTCACAGATCTGCCTGCCTCTGCCTCCCAAGTGTTGGAACTAAAGACATGTGCCACCACTCTGGTATAAAAACTAGGGATTTGTAGCTGAGTGTGGTAGCACTCACTTTTGATCTCAGCACTCAGAGGCAGAGGCAGGCAGGTCTCTGTGAGATCAAAGCCTGGGATGGTCTACATAGTAAGTTCCAGACTAGCTAGGGTGAAACCTTGTCTCAAAAAACCAGTAATAATCATGATAGATAGATGATTGATAGACAGATAGATAAAAAGTCGGGATTTGATATGAAAATTCTGACTCCCAGCTTCTCTTTGAAAACCCGACAGTGACACCAAGCATCTGACTGAGCCTCTGACTTTGTCCACACCAACCTCGAGGTCTCCTAACAGGCCTGTGTGGACCAAACGTGGCTACTAAACCACGCTTGCCAGATACAGTAGGGGTGTACCTAGGGAAAGGGCCCTCTCAGACATTCCCAGGAACAGCCAAACCCCTATCCCTGCAGTCACGTGACAGCTCGGCCTGCTCCCTTTCCCCTTTGCTCTATATCTTCAGCCCAAGAAGCCAGTACTACTAGGCCCAGAGCCAGAATCAGTTCCAGCAGCTTCAGCCCCTGGGGGCTATCAGAAGGGCAGGCTCAGCAGAGGCCAGGGCTGTATGCCTGCAGTGGACAAGAGGGACAGGACAAGTGACAGGACACTAAAAAGACAGAGGCATGAATGAGATGGGCCCCACATGTGATGTGCGTGTCCCCTAAACAGAAAAGTAGGGCTGTGCTCCAGGCTGGGAACCCTCAGGGCCCAAGCAATAGTGTTTTGAACTCATGTCTGTACAAGAGCAGGGGAAAGGTCCAGCCCCAAATCAGTCCCATTTCACTCTCAGGAGGCCACAGAGAAAGTGTTCAGGGACAGCAGAAGAGGAGGCATAGCTCTGTTCCTCCACACACTGACCTCCCTCTCCCAAGGTCCCCAAAGACCTCTTCCCCTTTTAGAGGAAAAGAGAAGCTGTTTTGGGATTTGGGTTGAGCCAAGAGAGTATTCAGATTTTCAGTATTCATATCTGCTGGGCAGGTAGGTATGAATGGGCTGAAAAAAAAAAAAAAAACCATTAGGTTTATCCTGAGGGAGAACAGGAGGTCCAGAAATATGTCACCTGAGGGGACACTCCAGGCAAAGTCCACACAGGCACGCAGAGAGGCCTGTGCACACACCTGCATGCACATACACTTGAGCAGGCCATTTGCAGCCTGGCTGGAATTATAATTACTTGGCAAGAGGATGTTGCTCATTGTCATTTGCGGATCCCTTTGGCCACCTGGGTCATTGTTGGAGCTCAGGAAAGTGGGTGGGGAGGAAGGCCCCTGGCTCCAGGGAGGCCAAATTCACATCAGACAGGAAAGTACCCCAAGCCCTAGCCTAAACATGCACTAGTGCAGAGCACTGTTCTTAGAGACACCTGGCCCTACCTGTCATTGAGTAAGGCCACCCCACACCAGAAGGAGGCATGCAGTGAGCCAGGAAAACTCCAGATCTGGAGACTGTTATAACTGTGTCTTGGAGAGCAAGGCCCTGGGCAGCTCTCATTTTTCTCTGGGCCGCCTATTCCACCTTCGTTTACAAGAGTCTCTTGTCCTGAGGCCCTTCAGCTTTTCGCTCAGGTCCAATTCTTGTGTGTTAGAGTCCAGCTGAGCACTTTAT